CAAGGTTTCCTGGTTAGGGATGCTTGCGTCGGTGTTCTGGTGCATGGAACTGGATTTCTTCTCTCTGGAGTGCAATGGAGTGCCCAATAATGAGTTTTGAGATGGGTCTGTGTTAGATGTAACTTTGGGCAGCCTGTATGTTGACACTCAGGGCTATGTTCCTGCGTTGCTGGAAAATTTGCATGGTATGTCTTACTCTGGAACTTATTGGCTCTTGGGTGCTGGTTGGATTCAGTGTAGGTATGTAGGCTTTTGAATGGTCTCTTATTACTTAAAGTTCCGTGTAGTCAGGAGTTCTCTGGTGTTCTCAGGTTTTGGGCTTAAGTCTCCTGCCTGTGGATTTCAGTTTTATTCTTCCAGTAGTCTCAAGACTTCTCCAACTATACAGCAGTATTAATAAATCTTCTAGGTTAATGGTGAAAAGATTCTCCACAATGAGGGACACCCAGAGAGGTTCACAGAGTTACATGAAGAAGAGGAGGGGAGGAAAGAGATAGAGATGAGCAGGAGGAGAAAAGGGGGGACTCAAGAGGAGAGATACAGATCTACACAGTTCTCTGTCCCCAAAGTGTTCTCCGTAGCCCAGACACCCACAGAGATTCACAGAATTGGATTAAGAAGAGAAGGGGGAGGGAGGAAATAGAGGTGTTCTGAGGTAGAAAACAGAGTGTCAAAAGTGGGAGAGAGTAATCAAGACACTCCTGAGTAAAAATGGGTACTGAATATTGGATTCTTAAATGTCCAAAATTGATACCAAATACTGAAAAATGAAGATTAAAAATCTAGAGTAGAGGTTAGACTCTTAAAAATACAATATTAAAAACAAAAACACAAAAAATTTTAGAAATACTTATGAAGTTTAGTTTAAAAATATGGCTTCTTTTTTTTTTTGCAAGGTTATAGTGAAATGAAAATGAAAATTAAGGAGTGATAGAGGAGTAATAGAGGACTTTAAAAGAAAATAAGAGAAAAAAATAAAACGGGAAAATTTTTTTTCCTAATTTTAAAAAATAGTAAAAATATATGAAAATGGAAATGAAAGTTAAGAAGTAATGGGGGAGTAATAGGGAATTTTAAAAGAAAATAAAAGAGAAAAAATAAAAAAAAAAGAAAAGAAAAAAATTTTAATTAGAAAAAAAAGTAAAAATATATCTAGGAATTTCTCTGGAGGTGTTGCAGTCAGCGTGGGTTCAGTTCAGTTTCAGATAGCTCCTCATTCCAGCTTACACTTCTTGATATCTATAGGCCCCTTCCAGTTTAGTCAGTGTTATCCACAGGGATTTTAGTCTGTTGCACCGGTCCCTTCTGAAGCGGTTCCCTTTGTTTATTTGGCTTCTGTTTGTAGGTCTCTTCAGTGTCTAATTTCCGCTCTGACACAAGCGGGCAGAGGTGGTCTCTTGTTTAGTTTCCCTGGTTCAGTCGTGCTGCGGGGAGGGAGGGGCGCTGCAGACAGATATCACTGTGTGTGGGTAGCACTCACCATGTTCCGGCCACACTGGGTTTGCCTCCGCTCATGGGTGTGTGCTTTCCCCGTCTACACTGCTCAGGCTCCTGGCCGCTCTATATGGAGCTGGCCCGGGCATTGCGTGCGGTTCCAGTTTTCGGGTACTCCACAAAAGCGCAGACTCAGTTGGGCCTGTGTTTTGTGCCTTCCCTAGCCCGAGCAGCTCAGGCAGCCAGGAGCTTGACGGGCGCACTCTCCCCCGGTGCGGTAAGCCTTCTCCCCTCCGCAGTCCCAGCCTCAGTTTCCATGTGTGCAGGTAGGGTGTGAGGGGCTTGTGTCTGTTTTCAGGAGCTGGCCTCTAGCCGCGACCCTCCAGGCGAATGTAGACCATCCAGAATCTCAGGAAGTCTTCGGTTAGAAACTGGAGGTCTGTTTGCAGTTTGGTAGGGGTGCCGGTCTCTGGGGCCGAGTTTGCCCCTTTCCCCTCCCCCCTGCCTCCTGCCTCCGGTGGGGATGGGCCGTTCTGTAGCTGGCTATCTATTTTCTGGAATTGTTCAGTCCCTTTGTTCTGCAAATGGCCGTCAGTGTGTTCGGCTGGTTAATTTTCTCTCTCCCTCTTGCTATCCCACAGTTTAAGTTGCTCACATTAGCTCCCTCCGATTGCCCTCAGGGCATTCAAGCCAGGTCTTTACCCTAAGCAATGCCGCCTGCTCCTCACTGTTCTGCCCCCACTTGCTCGTGGCGGATGCTGGCGTCTAGGAAGTGTTTTTAAAAAAGAAACAAAAAATTCTGAAATCAATGCAGTTTCTAATAGTCAGGTGAATTAATAGATACAAAGAATTAGATGTTGTTGCTGTTCAGTCACTCAGTCATGTCCGACTCTTTGCAACCCCATAGACGGCCGCACCCCAGGCTTCCCTATCCTTTGCCATCTCCTGCAGCTTGCTCAAACTAATGTCCATCAAGTTGGTGGTGTTGGAGAAGACTCTTGAGAGTCCCTTTGACTTCAAGAAAATCAAATCAGTCAATCCTAAAGGAAAATAATTTTGAATATTTATTGAAAAGACTGATGTTGAAGTTGAAGCTCCAATACTGTGGCCACCTGAAGAGAAGAGCCAACTCACTGGAAAAGATCCTGATTCTGGGAAAGACTGAAGGCAGGAGGAGAAGGAGGCAACAGAGAATGAGATGGTTGGTTGGCATCACTGACTCAAGGGACATGAGTCTGAGCAAATTCCAGTATATGGTGAAGGACAGGGAAGCCTAGCATGCTGCAGTCCATGGGGTAGCAAAGAATCAGACATGACTTTGTGACTGAACAGCAGCTGACGAAAAGAGCATTTCTCATTGCCAATGAAGAAAAGGGGCAGAAATAAAGTGGAGAGGAGCTCCAGGCTCTTTCAGGAGGTTTGCATTCCCTGTTCTTTGTCATTTCCCTTGGTCCACCAATGGGTTTCAAATTTAGGCATGTGGTCAAAGGATGCCTTCATCTCTGCCTGGGGTGAGACTAAGAGAGTGTTTACTGCATTTTCACATCTAGTGATTTCTCTGAACCCTGTCTTTGTATGTATATATAGTTACTTAAAGGGCTTCCCTGGCAGCTCAGCTGGTAAAGAATCTGCATGCAATGCAGGAGACCCTGGTTTGATTCCTGAGTTGGGAAGTTCCTCTGAAGAAGGGATAGGCTACCCACTCCAGTGTTCTTGGGCTTCCCTGGTGGTTCAGATGGTAAAGAATCTGCCTGCAATGCTGGAGCCCTGGGTTTGACCCCTGGGTTGGGAAGATTCCCTGGAGGAGGGCATGGCAACCGACTCCAGTATTCTTCCCTGGAGAATCCCATGGACAGAGGAGCTTGGTGGGCTACAGTCCATGGGGTCACAAAGAGTCGGATATGACTAAGCACGGCACAGCACACCTATTTAAAACTAAACCCTCAAGGCATTGTGGATTACCATTATCATTATTATTTGATGTTGAAATAAAGAACTTCCTTTACAAATCAGAAAGGTCATAATTTAAGTTGACTGATGATCATAATCTGACTCTGAACCACTCAATACCATTTTATTTTCCAAAAAATTATTTTCCATTTTAAATCATACTATGCTATATTATTCAATCATGCCCCTACAATAATTTATTTAGTGGAAAATGGCACAGATTTTATGAGTCTCTTGTACTTATGGACATTTTTGGAGACCTGGATTTTATTACATTCTCTCAATTCAGAAATATTTTTCTCTCTCTGGAACCTAATACACTTCACTTCTCAAGAGTGTACAAAGGAAAAAAAATAAAAAGCTCTGATAACTGTATTCAATGCTGCTTTGGGGTCTCCAGCCCCGTTTCCTTGGTGAGCAGATTAGTCTCTGCTGGGCATCCCCTTGAATACGGTATTGGTGTATATCCAGTTTAGTTTATGAGCACTAAAATGTGGCTAACAGATTTTCTATTCTATCTTATCTCCCTTGTATGAAGGAAAGAATAGGTTAAAAAAAACTGTATGAGAGAAGTTCCAAAAATAATTTCTAGTGTATAACTCATAAAAACTCTATTCTGCCTATGCTAGGGTTTTGGAGCTAGAAATTCTAGAAGAAATAATTTCTGATATGTCATTGTGTGGAAGAAATGTATAACCTTTAAAAAATTGTGAATCACTATGCTGTACAACTGAAACTTAAATAATATGGTAAATCAAATATATTTCAATTAACAAAAATCCAAGAAGGTAAGAGAAATAAAAATTATACACTTAGTAAAATTTTCTAAAAAAAACAAAAACAAAAAACTATGGCTCAGATATTAAACATTACTTTCCTTGTTGGGGGGTGGTGATTGAATGGTAGACAGATAAAAGAAACAGAGAGGAATCTGGGGTTTCTTCTCAAAGTCAATCTTTATTGTTTTTCCTGTGTCATACACATACATCTTATGGCAAGTTCTGAAAATATGTCAAATCTCATTCTATGAAGTTAAAGCAACTCATGATTACTTGAGGATGACAATGGTGGTGAAAGTTGCAATGCTAAGAGTGATGCCAATTAGGCAGGAAGTACTTAATTAGGCAGGCAGTACAAATACTGGAGACAAAGCAGTATTGAAGCTCATCTGGATCCCATATGATCTGTGTTACTTTGAACAACTTACTTAATTCTATATATCTCATAAGATTGTTACAAAGATTAAATGAATTTCTACAAAAATAATTTAGAATAAAACCTGTTTTAGGACTCAGTGTATTAATTAGAATTATATTAGTAATATGTATCATTATAGAAGATGATTTCTAGCTTAGATCAATCCCCTTTGTAAAGTTTTGTCTAATCATTCAATTGCCTCTAATATTTATGTTTCTATGGACACCATTAATGTTTGTCGACTGTACTATTCATTTGTCTTGTGTTATAAGATTTGCTGCTCCATTCCTGATCTTATACTTTCCCCCTAGGACACATATTTATCATATTCTTGATGATAATGCTGATGATGTTGATGACACCATGGATGACAGTCTACGACTACAATAAGCATCAGATTTTAAAACCAAATATTGAAGTCACACTTTGATGCGGTGAAACATGCAAATGATGGCTTGGCGGATCTCCTTTGTCTTGGCGCTATAAATGAGAGGGTTGAGCACAGGAGGTACAAAGAGGTAGATGTTGGACAAAAGGACATGTATGAAGCATGGGACATGCTTCCCAAAGCGGTGCACCATGGAGACCCCAATCTTTGATACATAAAATGCAAGCACAGCCAAAATATGTGACACACGTGTTGAGAGTTTTGAGGCATTCCTCATGGGAAGCAATGGCCATGACTGAGTGCAGAATGAGCACATAGGAGAGGAAGATAAATAACAAGTTCATGCCAAACGTGGAAATAAGAACAAAGAGTCCATAGACGATATTGATTGTGATATCAGCACAGGCCAGCTTCATCATGTCTGGGTGGAGGCAGTAGGAGTGGGAAAGAACATTGGATCTGCAGATAGGAAACCTCTTGAAAAGAAAGGGAAGAGGAAAGAGGATGATGAAGCTCCGAGCAGTCACAGCTAAACCCATTCCAGCAATGAGTTCATTAGCGAGCACAGTGGCGTAGCACAAGGGATCACAAATGGCCACATAGCAGTCAAAGCTCATGGCCAGTAGAATGCCTGACTCCATCATGGAGAAAGAATGAATGAGGAACATCTGGATTAGGCAAGCATGAAAATCAATGGTGCGGGCATTGAGGCAGAAGGTTCTGAGCACAGTAGGTAGTGTGGCCACGGACATGGCCATGTCACTGAGAGACAGCATGGACAGGAAGTAGCACATGGGCTGATGCAGGCTGGGCTCCGCTCTCACAGCCTGCAGGATCACCGTGTTGCCTCTGAGAGCCACAGCATACATCACACAGAGGGGTCCTGCTAGCCAGAATTGAGCGCTCTCCAGGCCAGGGATACCAGTCAGAAGGAAAAAGGCAGGGTGAATGACATTGAACAACTCCATGGCAGGAGGAAGCCAGAGAGCGTTTCAGGGTCAGACCTTCTGATTTAGTGATTTCTGAGAGCTGCACTTACTGGAAGAGGAGGAACCAGGGAGTAAAAGACAGAGCAGATGGTGTCTACACAGTTTAAACAATGCATTCATGAAATCACTTGTTTTGAGAAAATACAGGCAAACTTCTTTTCTTCATACTTTATGATCATCAAGTCATAGGCTGGGCTACTGTTTCTGTTTTATGGAATAAGGAAGATGTTGACAAATGTTTAAATGTATCAATTAGTTTGCTATGTTTATATAAAGGCTTTATAGTTTTATCTACAATTTTCATGTGCTTTAAGAGAGTCATTGAATGAAATTATGTTAACCAGAATTCATATATAGTTATTATAAAAGAACAGTGAGGGTTTGAGATACCATTAGCTTTTTGAAGTGTTTGCATTGTCCCTTGAAAATGCTGTTAAATTCAGACATGTCACTGAGTAATGAAAGCAGTCCCCAGAGCTAGCTTGAACTATAATGTGTGTTTGCTGAGAGAGGGGAAGAGGCAGTGGGACCTGGATGAAAATGATTACCTCTTTACAGGACGCAGAATTGCTGCAAAAGATCAACAAAGAAACCTCTTATTTGTGCAAAGGCACCAAGCAGTTCCTGTTTTTGGGAAAACAATGAATTCCTCCCTAAATCTGCTACAGGTACAGTGTCATTCAGTCTTTGGGAAAGCATTGTTCCAAACAGAAATTTTCCACGCCCTTAGTTATATATACTCTCAAAATATGCTTATTCTCATAGACACATTCCTGTACTTTCACAACAGTCTCATCATGGATTCCATTCATGCTCTTTATAAAAACACTCACACCTCTCTTTCTCTCTCCAGCTTACTCTTATTAGACTAATATATATTTAATACTCCCTCTTGATCTTTATAAATTTTAATGCACATACCCTCTGAGGCTCATTCCTTCAGTCCATGTTGACATACATGCAGTATTAATACCTGAATAACATTCAGGTGTATATGTAGATTTGTGTGCTCATACAACAAATGCTTTGACCTACCTGCTCACATACTACTTCTTACCCACTAGTGTTCATCCCCTAATCCACCTAGACTCTGTTTTTTATCCTCACACATTGCATTTACTCACAACTATTCTTACAGGAGCATTTATGTCGGAGAAGTAATGGCACCCCATATAGTGCTCTTGCCTGGAAAATCCCATGGTTGGAGGAGCCTGGTGGGCTGCAGTCCATGGGGTTGCTAAGAGTCAAGCACGACTAAGCGACTTCACTTTCACTTTTCACTTTCATGCATTGGAGAAGGAAAAGGCACCCCACTCCAGTGTTCTTGCCTGGAGAATCCCAGGGACGGGGGAGCCTGGTGGGCTGCTGTCTATGGGGTCACACAGAGTCGGACACGACTGAAGCGACTTAGCAGCAGCAGCAGCATTTACGTATTACTTACCCAATTCCTAGAGACTAACCCACAACTACTTCTCTGTAACAGGAATTATGTTTTTATTTGTCTTTATTCTCATGTTTTTGAAATTCTTCCAGGTTCATTATTTCATGGCATATGAAGAAAGAAAGTTAGAAATCTTTTCACCTGGTGCACATGTTTCAGGCTTCTAAGGCATCCTCCTTTGGGGGAGGAGCTCCAGAAATATGTGCTGCTATTTTCCCTTGACCTTCTTCTCTAGCCGCTAACAAATCAAGGCCAGAAAGCAATGGCAGTGTCCCTTCTGATGGGAATGGAGAAGAAAGGGAGCCCTAGGTACCTGAAAGCCATAGCGATTCTGGGATAGTTTGCAATGCAGTATTCACACCTTGGGGAAAACTCCTGAATTTTCTCTGGCAGGCTAGAACTCAGACCTTCCTGTGGTGCCCAGGAAGTTAAGGGCCACTTCTCTGTGTGATTGGTTACATCCCTCTGGTCTTAAGGATCAGTTCATGTGTGCCCATCTCCCCTTCAGAACTGTGATTCCTTGGGATATGGGACTGACTAAACTTCTCCATGTCTTTTTTCTGTCCTATGACTCTAATTCTCATGCTTTTTATGAAGACCTATAGAAGGTAATCAGAAAAAAAGTCAAGAACTGAGCTAATGTAAGGAACGAAAAGGAGAAGAAAACAGGCTTATTTTGTGCAGGGCAGAGACAAAGCCATTCTGGGTCTGGCTATCCTAGCTCTAATGTTTGCTGGAAAAAGGCTTTCTGACCATCCCAGGACCCCATTCCTTACTATTTCCCGCAGCCACTGAATTTGTGGGTGGTTTAGATGCAACTGAAGACAAAAAAATGTAGTGGGAGAAAAATTAATATTTATGGAGCATATGCTATGAGCCAGATACTTTGCAAGGAAATTTACAACTATTTACTCATTAATTCTTGAGAGAAGTGGAAACTAATGCTCACTGATGATGATGGACAGGGAAGCCTGATGTGCTAGTCCATGGGGTCTCATGAATTGGACATGACCGAGCGACTGAATTGACAAGACTGAAGGCTCAATGAGGTGAGCTTGCCTCACAGAGTATGCAAGGAGCTGATAAAATCTCAAGTAAAGATACGCAAGACTCTAATATTGTATTCTGTATTTGAGGCAAACAGCAGAGTGATGATATACAGCCTTGACGTACTCCTTGATGTACTTGTGTATATTGTCACCCTGCTTATTTTACTTGTATGAAAAATGCCAGGCTGGATGAAGTACAAGCTGGAATCAAGATTGCCAGGAGAAATATCAATAACCTCAGATGTGGTTACTGCAGATGACACCACCCTTATGGCAGGAAGCAAAGAAAATTAAGGGGCCTCTTGATGAAAGTGCAAGAGGAGAGTGAAAAAGCTGGCTTAAAATGCAACATTCAAAAAACAAAGATCATGTCATCTGGTCCCATCAATTCATGGAAAATTGATGGGGAAACAGTGACAGACTTTATTTTCTTGGGCTCCAAAATCACTGCAGATGGTGATTGCACCCTTGAAATTAAAAGATGTTAGCTCCTTCGAAGGAAAGCTATGACTAACCTAGACAGCATATTAAAAAGGAGAGACACTACTTTGCAGACAAAAGTCAGTCTAGTCAAAGTTGTGGTTTCCATGTAGTCATGTTTTGATGTGAGAAAGTGACAGTGAAAATCGCTCAGTCATGACTGACTCTTTGTGACCCCATGGACTATACAGTCCATGGAATTCTCCAGGCTAGAACACTGGAGTGAATAACCTTTCCCTTCTCCAGGGGAATCTTCCCAACTCAGGGATAGAACTCAGGGTCAGTGAGCTCACCCCTTTGTTGTTGTGTTAGTCGCCCAGTTGTGTCTGACTCTTTGCAACCCCATGGACTTGTAGCTCACCAGGCTTCTCCGTTTACGGAATCTTTAGGCAAGAATACTGGAGTAGGTAACCAATCCCTTCTCCAGGGCATTTTTCTGACCCAGAGATTGAACCTGGCTCTCCCCTCTACTTGGGTTCAAAACTCACCTGAAGACAGGCGGATGAGAGACACCCACAGAACAACATATCCTTCTATCTGCTAAAGAGCATTCATGTTTGCCTCTTTTATATCTCATCCTAAGCCCTGAGAGAGAGCAATGATGCTGACTTCTGTCTGAAAACTCATCAGGAAGGTTTTATTCTCTTGAGGTTTTTAATGATTATTGAGAATAAAGCATATACTCTTTTAGCTGAAAAATAACTCAACAATCTGCAGGACTGATTCTTACCCAATGCAAGATATCATCCACTGAAGGCTGGACAAGCATGTAAGACAAGAGCTTATTACCCTCTAAAAAATTCCAGAATTATGTGATATGTTGTCCAAGCCCAAGAAGGAAGGTATAATCAAAACATGATTAAGATCACTTTTCTTTTCCTCTTAAATATATTGAAAATGCTAGCCGTTCCTTTACTCCTAGATGAAAAACAAGTTCCTTAATATTTCTGGTCACATTCAGATGATAAAATTTCCTCTGGTGAGTATCTGGACAATGCAGACTCATTTATAGCTTCCCTATAGCTCAGATGGTAAAGAATCTGTCTGCAATGTGGGAGACTGGGGTTCAATGCCTGGGTAGGGAAGAACCCCAGAAGAAGAGAATGGTTACCCATCTAGTATTCTTGCCTGGAAAAGTTCATGGACAGAGGAGCCCAGTGGGCTATAGTCCATGGGGTCGCAAAGATTCAGACACCACTGGGTGAATAACAGACTCATATAATATCGAATCTTCCAGTGTTCATAATTACAGTCTTTTATTTTCTGCTATCCTTCCCTTGCTAACAATGGTACCTGACTTCTCACCCAGAAAGGAGATAGAAGGGAAATGGCCAGATTCATTTCCTTATGATTCAGTTAGCTGATATCATGTTTCCTAGGTTTGTTAAATACTTAAAACAATACTTAAAGCTGATTCTTTCATTGGGTGCTTTCATTAATTATTTGAAGAAATTTCTCTCTGTCTTTTACCTCTCTACTTGACTTTGATCTTGAAGAGATAGCAGTGAACAGTCTTGAATCTTAGTTCCCTGCCTAGAAATTGGACCTGGGTGCCCTGGATGAAAACCAGGAATCCTAGCTGCTAGTCCACCAGCGGCTGGAGACTAGAAACAAAGTTTCCCTGGCTCTTGCCTCTTGTGAGAAATGAATTTCTCAAGGAAGCAAAAGCTGCAAAAACAAGTACAAAGTTTATTATCTGAGATACAGCATAACATGTGGGAGGGCACATAGAGGCCTAGTTTGCTTATTTAAGACAAATCAAGCCAAAAATACACACCCAGAGAGAAAGGATGTGAGTGTCCTCCATAATGAGGAAGATCCCAGTAAGAGGTGACTTAAAACACTTATATGGGGCAGTTCTCCCCAGTCTTTGTTTGAAAACAAAAGTGTTAATTGCTCTAATATTTCCAACTCTTTGCGACCCCATGAACTGTAGTCCACCAGGCTCCTCTGTCCATGGAATTCTCCAGGCAAGAATACTGGAATGGGTAGCCATTCCGTTCTCCAGGGGATCTTCCTGACCCAGGGATTGAACCTGGGTCTCCTGCACTGCAGGCAGATTTTTAACACCTGAGCCACCAGGAGTGTCCAGTCTTAGTCTTCCTTTGTCCAATTATCTTGTTTTCTTTTTCACACCTGTCCTGCCCCAGGACCCTCCCCAATATGCCTGTGAAACTTTTTCCTAAGATGGATTCTACCACACAGACCTGTGGGGGTCTTGGCAACACATATCATAGGGCAGCAACCCCCGCTTTCTGTACCTGTGCTTGCTGTCAGGGAAGTTTCCTTCATCTCAGGAAACTTCCGCATGTTATCTCTTTACTCCAGCAAAGCTCAGCTTTTGCCACTAGCTTTGTCCTTGGAATCTCTGAGGGAAAAAACTTCAATTGTACTCCAACGGACAAACACCAGTTGTCCAGCCCAGGGGTCCATCTATTTCCTACATCAATTTTAACTAATATATTTTTATATGATTGCTTTTGACTCCATCCACAACCCAGATCCCCTTTACATTCTTCTGGTCAGGATCTACAACCACACCATGCCAGCTCTCTCTAACATGTAGCCACCCACAAAATGGTCAGCCTTCCTGTGTGAAACAAATATCCTACCTCAAAACAGCAATATTCTCCTACTCAATCCTGCTATCAGAACAGCAAGGTAACTTTCATTGCTCTATTTAAATTTCCAGGGGTAATAAGGAACTGGTCTGCTGTGTCTCTTTCTCCCCACAACTCAGGGGATGATGATTTTTCTGAGTAGAAACCTTCAGGAAACTCTCTTTTCATTCAAGGATGGTGAGATGCACCTCTGTGTTCCTTTCTCTTGTATGAGGGGTGGGGGATGGGAGACTTAGCTCTTTCCAATGGTTCTCTTCAGAAACCTTTATTTCTTCAGAAACCTTTATTTAAATCCTCTAATTCATAACTCTTTTAAATCTTTGATTAGGGCAGAGCTTCTTAACTTCAGCAGTGCTAACAGCTGAATACAAATGTGCTGATCTGAGTTCTGAATAAGTAAGATATCACTGAACAAAATGGTGATAGTAATTTCTTTCAGTGTTTGAAAGTACTCACTTTCCAGCTCTTGCTTGGTTAGGGACCTATGGGGCATGTGCAGGTGTGTACACACAGCCTGTTTATAGTGGCCATAGATTATAGAGATATTTGTTGAGGAGGTTGAAAATGATAAACCCTTATATTCTTAATAGAGGAAAAAATAATCCATTATATATGAGTATGTGTGTAAATTTTTATATGTATTGCATTGTTTTAATTTTGCTGTTGTTTAGTCACTCAGATTTGTCTGACTCTTATGACCCCATGGACTAAAGCCCACCAGGCTTCTCGCTCCATGGGATTTCCCAGGTAAGAATACTGGAGTGGGTTGCCATTTCATTCACCAATGTATATGTATTATTTCTGAATAACAAATATTGACCAATTTCTACTTAATAGATTATGGGGAGAAAGAAGTGTTTTTTTCTTAGATAAGTTGTATCTGTTTAAGCTATTAAGATAAGTATTTAAGTAAGCTACTGATATCTAAGTAAATTATAAACTATAACCTTGTGTATGATATTTACTGGAAATTAAAAGACACTTATTCCTTGGAAGAAAAGCTATGACAAACCTAGGTAGCCTGTTAAAAAGCAGAGACATCACTTTGCCGACAAAGATCCATGTAGTCAGAGCTATGTCTTTTCCACTGGTCATGTACAGATGGGAGAGCTGGACCATAAAGAAGGCTGCCTGCTGAAGAATTGATACTTTTTAACTGTAATGCTGGAGAATACTCTTGAGAGTGCCTTGGACAGCAAGGAGATCAAACCAGTCAATCCGAAATGAAATCAACCCTGAATATTCATTGAAAGGACTGATGCTGAAGCTGAAGCTCCAATAGCCTGGCCAACTGATTCGAAGAACCCACTCATTGGATAAGACCCTGATGCCGTGAGAGACAGAGGGCAGGAGGAGAAGGGGACGACAGAGGATGAGACGGCTGGGTGACATAACCCACTGAAAGGACACAAGTTTGAGCAAGCTCTAGCAGATTGCGAAAGACAGGGAGGCCTGGTGTGCTGCAGTCCATGGGGTCACAAAGAGTGGGGCATGAGTTAGCAACTGAACAATGAACAGCAAATTTTTCTCTAGAGTCCACATTTAAGCAATATCATATGATATTTATCTTTCCCAGTCTGGCATACCTCAAGAAGTTGTAATGTTAATAGTGATGTCAGTTAGAGAGGCAGTATTTGCAGTGGTTGGGTACAAACACTGGAGACAGACTAGTATTGAATCTCACTTGGATCACACTTTAAGTGAGTTACTCTGAACAATTCATTTCATTCTCTATACTTCATAAGATTGTTAGAAATATTAAATGAATTAATGCAAAAATAATTTAGAACTGAATCTGACACTTTTAAGAAACAGATACTATTATTATTATGTTAGTAATATTTATTATTATAGAAAATGACTCCTAGCTTAATGTTCCTCTGCAAAGTTTTGTCTAATCACTCAATTGACTCTAATAGTTATCTTTCTATGAATGAAAATGGCTTCTGTTAGATGTATTGTTACACATTTTTTTCTGTCCTATAAGTTTTGAATCTCCATTCCTGATGTTTAATCTCTACCCCAGTAAATCTACCTTTGTGATGACAATTATGATGTTTAGGATAACAACATCAACAATGTTGATAATAATGACACTGTGGATGATAGTCTAGGACTACAATGATCATTATATTTTAAAGCCAAATGTGGAAGTCACATTTTGATATGGTGAAACATGTGAAAAATGGCTCGGTGGATCTCCTTTGTCTTGGCACTATAAATGAGAGGGTTGAGCACAGGAGGCACAAAGAGGTAGATGTTGGACAAAAGGACATGGATGAATCCTGGCACATTTTTCCCAAAGCGGTGCACCATGGAGACCCCAATCATTGGTACATAAAATGCAAGTACAGCCAAGATATGTGAGACACATGTGTTGAGAGCTTTGAGGCGTTCTCCATGGGAGGCAATGGCCATGACTGAGCGCAGAATGAGCACATAGGAGAGGAAGATAAATAACAAGTCCATGCCAAACGTGGAAATAAGAACAAAGAGTCCATAAACGATATTGATTGTGATATCAGCACAAGCCAGCTTCATCATGTCTGGGTGGAGGCAGTCGGAGTGGGAAAGGACATTGGACCTGCAGATAGGCAGCCTCTGGATGAGGAAGGGAAGAGGAAAAAGCGTGATGAAGCTCCGAGCAGTCACTGCTAAACCCATTCCAGCGATGACTTCATTAGTGAGCACAGTGGCATAGCGCAAGGGATCACAAATGGCCACATAGCGGTCAAAGCTCATGGCCAGCAGAATGCCTGACTCCATCATGGAGAAGGAATGGATGAGGAACATTTGGATCAGGCAGACATCAAAGCCAATGGTGCGGGCATTGAGGCAGAAGGTTCTGAGCCCAGTAGGCAGTGTGGCCATGGACATGGCCATGTCACTGAGAGACAGCATGGACAGGAAGTAGCACATGGGCTGATGCAGGCTGGGCTCTGCTCTCACAGCCTGCAGGATCACCGTGTTGCCCCCGAGAGCCACAGCATACATCACACAGAGGGGTCCCGCTAGCCAGAGTTGAGCATTCTCCAGTCCAGGGATACCAGTCAGAAGGAAAAAGGCAGGGTGAGTGACATTGAACAACCCCATGGCAGGAGGAAACCAGAGAGCTTTTCAGGGTCAGACCTTCTAATTTAGCGATTTCTGAGAGCTGTACTTACTGGAAGAGGAGGAACCAGAGAGAAAAAGATAGAGCAGATGGTGTCTACACAGTTTAAACAGATGCATTCATGAAATCACTTGTTTTGAGAAAATACAGGTAAACTTCTTTTCTTCATACTTTATGATCATCAAGTCATAGGCTGGGCTATATATTCCCTCTGTTTTATGAAAAAAGGACAATATTGACAAATGCTTAGATGGGTCAGTTAGTTACAAAGAAAATGTTTGCACTATGGTATCTACAATTTTAATTGCTCTTTTGAAAGGAAATAAGTTAAACTTCTTAGAGAACTATTACAATGTACATTTGGTGTTTGCCTCATCAGTAACTGTACAGGTATTTAAATGTTTCCTTCACAATGTTGTTTGATTCAGTCATGTCACTAATTAATGATACCATACCCCATAGCTAGTCTGAATTATGATATATGTTTGGTTAGGGAAGAGAGGGGCCAGTGGGACTTCGATGAAATCTACTGCCACTGGATATCAGTTTTTTACTGGCAGAGTTGCTGCAAAAAAGCAACAAAGGAACCTTTTATTTGTGCAAAGGTGTGAAGCTGTTCCTGTCTGGGGAAAATTTATGAATTCTCCTCTAAATCTGGTATAAGTATACTAACATTCAGGTTGTCTAAAGACCATAGTTTTTCTTTATTTTTTAATTGAAACATAGCTGATGTAAGGATGATAGTTTTAAATCTGTGTCATAGTCATCCAAGTTTAGATATGCTCATCTATTTATGGCTACAGTTTATGACTAACTGATTTCTTTTTCTCTGGGGGACTTTTGTATACTTTTTTATATATCCTGAGAACCTTTATATATTTTTTTCTCAGAATTAATAAAATGAGAACAAAGTTAGATCATGTGTGCTGGCGTACCTGTTGGTCTGAGTTGTGGAATTGGCAGTGACCACTTTGCTCCTATTTTTCTGAAGCTTTCTTGTGCCCAAGTCCTGCTTTCCTTCCTCACCTTGCAGCAATGTTAGTGAATCATAGAAACATTGATCTCAAGGAGTCTGACTCTGGAAAGTGACAATCTAGAGAAGTACGCTGAATCGCTTAGAGTTACACAAGCAGTTAGTGGCTGTTCCAGGATTAGAACCCCAAGGCCAAGGACAGTCCCACTTATTCTGTTCACTCAGCTGAGATACTGCCATCTGATGACCTCCCTCCACTCAGTCTCTCTCTTCTTCACCCTACCCTTTTCCCAGTATAACCCTTTCTTGGGGCAGGGTTAAACCCCCTCAGGGCAGTCAGCTAGTTCACCCCTACTGGGTTTCAGAACTCACCAGAGAACAGACTGAAGAGAGACATCCAAGGAACAACACACTCTTCTATCTGCTCAAATGCATTCATGCCTGCCTCTTTTATATCTTATTCTAAGCCCCAGGAGGACAGCAGTGGGGCTGACTTTGTACCTGAAAACTTGTTAGGAAGATCTTATTCTCTTGAGGACTTTCATGAGTACTGACAAGAAGCACTTTTAGCTGAAAAAGAACTCTGCAAATCTACCACACCAGTTCTCTCCCCAGTGCCAGACACTGCTTGGTGAAGGCTGGGCAGGCTTGTAAGACAGGAGCTCGTTTTCTTTAAGAAATCCCAGAATTAGGTGACATATTGAACTAGCCCAACAAATAAGGTATAATCAGAAAATAACTAAGTTTTCTTAACCTGCTGAATTTATTGAAAATGCTTAATTCTTTTTTAAAATTAATTTTTATTGGACTATAATTGACTTATGATATTGTTTTGGTTTCTACTGCACAGGAGAGTGAATCAGTTACTCATATATATACACATATACATATATATATATATTGCCTCTTCTTTGGATTTCCTTCCCATTTAGGTCACCACAGAGCACTGAGCAGGGGTCCCTGAGCTCTACATTAGGTTCTCATTAGTTATCTACTTAATACAAAGCATCAATAATTCTTTGCCTTCACCTTTGTAGAACCATATATTCTTCTAATCAGAAGCAACAACAACACCATGACTGCTCTCTCTAACATGCAGCCACCCAGGAAATGGTTAAACTTCTTGTGCATAACTAATGCCCTACCTCAAAATGACAATAGTCTTCTATTTATTCCTGCTATCTGAAGAGCAAGATGGCTTTTATCACACTACTTTAATTTTCAAGTGTAGCAAGAAACCAGTCTGCTGTGTCTCTTTTCCCCTACAACTCATAGGACACAAGCTCCTGAGTAGAATCCTTGAGGTAACTCTCTTTTTATTCAAGAACAGTGGGATGTTCCTCCATATCCCTTTCTCTTGCATGTAGGATGTGGGATGGGATTCAGCTCTTTCCAATTATTCTCTTCAGAACTCTTTATTTAGATCCTCTAATTCATAACTCTTTACACCTTTGATTAGGGCAGAGTTTCTCAACCTCAGCAGTGTTAACAATTTGTTTTGAATAGTTCTTTGCTGTGATGTGATGTCTTGTGCATGGTAAGAATTCTAGCAGTGTCACTGGTCTTTACCTAACCTATGCTCTATCTCCATTATGACAAGAAAAAATGCCACCAGGCATTGACAAGTGTGCCATGCAGTACAAAAGAACGTTTGGTTGAGAACCACTGAAGTTTGCAAATGAGTGTATAAGTCAGCTAATTCGTTCAATGAAAATCGAAATTTCCCATGGTTGATCATTAAAACGATAATAGTCATTATCTTCACATATCAACCAGTCTAAGATACACAGCATCCATTTAAAAATTCTGTTTCATGTACAAAACATCTCAAACTCTTAGAACATTAGAATTTCTCATCTCAAAAGTGTGGTCTGTGCATGAATTAGGAAAGAATTTCCAGAGACGAGGCAGAATGAGAGGTGAATAGAGCTTATTAGAGAAAGAGATGCTGTTAGAACAGTGGGCTGGAAGGAAAGCGGACCCCTTTCAAGGGCTACTAGCCAATTTTTATAGCTTCAAGACAAAATTCCTGCAGGAACAGTGGCATTAGGTGATTGGTTAGGATGCTATAGTGTGGGCATATTACCTAATATGGGGTCAGAGAGTTGGCTGGGGTAAGTCAGGGGGCTTGGTAACAGTTGCTACGGGGCTTGGTCAGTTCTGGAGAATTTTGTCCTGTGATTTTGGTAAAGGGTTCCACATCTGTGGCCTTAGTACAAGGTTCCCCACCTGTGACCTTGGTGTAGGGCTCAACAATGATCTCTCAGCTCAAATCCTTGTTATATTTCTTTCTTTCCTTTTTAACAGAACCTCTTGCAGATTCTCAAATATGCCACTTCATGACCACGTGCTTCTTAGACTTGATTTGGTCTTTATCATGTCCTCTGCTGGGAATTGTTGCCACCTAAAACATTTCCTAGTGAATCCTACAGATGTAAGGACCTTCCCTGGTTATTAATTATTTTTCTAATCTCTTGTGCTTTTTTGTGATTGTTTGAGAACTTGACATTCCCCTATTTCTGGTTTTATCAAATGCTGCCGAAACTTTACATAAATCACCCATTTTGTGTCTTACTCATTACATTATCCTCAATACGTAGCTCAGTGCCTGTGGCTTTTTTGACCCTTAGAAAGAATGAATAGAGAAAATTATTTTCAGCTTCATAGTCACAGAAACCATATCTTATCCAGAGTCTGGCTTGACTTCACATGATGCAGGCATTTAGAACTTGATTTTGGAATAGAGTCAGTCCATGTCAGTGTACATAATCACAGAAATAGCTAAAGGTTTTCTCACAAATAAGCAATTTTAACATGTAACCTAAGATAGAGTCATCCCCATTCAGTGCCATTCATGAGTTTTCAAAATTTCTCTAAAAAGAAGTTGAGGGACATTTCTAAGGTGAGGAAATAACATGGAATGCACAACTAACCATTTTCAGGATATTAAGTGGTATTTGGCCTCTTTTAACCCAGAATTTCTCTTCTTTTGGCACCAGTTATTTCCTCCCAAATACTGCCTACTTCTTAACCTTACCAAGAATGTTTTAGGTATTGTCAATGAATTTATTCACAATTTCCTCAGACTATCATCACAAAACTCAATATGGGGACTATAAAAAAGGAAGGAGTCTGGTTACTCTTGTTTCCCTACAGTATATATGGGGTACTCAATGTATTTGTTAAATTATAAAATTAAAGAGTAAATAAATTAGGTAAATACCAGTTTTAAGTAGCAAGGATATGCTTAGACTTGATTAAATTTTCAGATTATGATGTATGAATCCTGTATCTATATTAGTTATCAAGTGATATGCAACAAATTACCAAAAAAGTAGCTTAATACTTATTAACTCATTAAGTTATGAACTGTTTGTCTTATTTATGAAGGACCAGTGATTGGCTTGGTTGAGTGGTTCCAGCTAAGATTCTCTCATAAGGTTGCAGTCAAACTGCTGGTCAGGGCTGCAGTTCATGAAGAATTGACTAGGTCTGGAGGACTCTCCTCCAGGTTAACATGGGTGTTGGCAGGAGGCTTCAGTACCTGGTTGCTTAACCCTCTCCACAGG